TTCTTTTTGTTATTGATTGTCTTAAGTGAGTATAGTATGATACAACTTCCAAAGTGCTATATAAATAAAAAATAAAGAATAAACCATACTGGATTCTTTGGAGTTTGTATCATGCTACTGTTGTTAAATTACCAATACTGTAGTTCTAAAGTAGTAGTTTTTTTTTTGTTTTTTATCTTTTCCCAACTCAAAAAATTACCTCTTTAATATATACATTTTTGTTAATGTATGGCCTCTCAAATCAATTAAATAACACTGTTTTTGCCCTGGACCCAACGGGGGCCCTTGGCGGCCCCCCCTGGCCCTAGCCAATGGTGCTCACAAGTGCCCTTTCAGCATCAAAAAGAACCCCCCTACCAAAATCCTGGCTACGGGCTTGCCGTGGTGGTCAAAGGAATGATCTTTTTTTTTCTCTGTATTTATATACTGCAGTATACGTCAATCCTTTTTGTCATTAAATTTTGTTTTGAAAGTATTTATATGTACTTTTGTTTAAAAAAATTTCAATATTGCTCTAAATTGCATGTTGCTCATTTTTATTTCACAGTAAGGAAGATTCCACCCTGGAGAATATTACAGAGAGTAAAGTTTTTGAGGTAATTATTAAGAAATTATTTTTTTTTTTAAAAAAGGTGGAACAATATGCTAAAAATTGAACCTTGAAGTATTTTAAAAGATTTACAAAACCAATTTTAAAGCATCATTTTTACAGTATTCTTAAATTCATTGTTTATTGTTGTTGCTGCGAGTCACCAGACAAGCAGCGACACTAATTTGGCAGTATAGATCTCGATTTGTCCAGGACTCGAGACGAATTTTCCGGAGAGCGTCGGATCGTCTTCGGTTTTCAGCTGAAAAGTGCGATGAAATTTGAGTGCTTTTCGGAGCCTTTTCGAGATCCACATGGTCCCGGTGGCGTGGCTTTCAATCCAGGTCATTGTCAGTTTCGAGCTTGACTGTGTCGAATGTGTGGTGGAGTTAGAATTGAATCGGTAAGTATTCGATTTTCAAACATTTATTATGTCAAGTCTTAGAAGTGTTAAGGTCATGATAATTTTAATGATGTTTAGATCAATGTGATTGTGTCCTGTTTGTGATATTTTTAGGGCAGCTATGGTTGTGCTTTTTTATAATATAATTAGGCCTAGGGCCTAGGCAGAACGTTGCTAGGCTAGTCTTTCAATTTCAGGCTAGGTCTAACCTAATATTAAGTATTTCATTAGCTTCTTTACCTAGGGTAGATCTAGGATTGGTGTCTAAACGAACGGTGTTATTTTTATATTTGATAATAATTAGAAATTGCCAGATTATTTTGATGTGTGTATGTGGCCACAGGCTCATCATAGACGCCATATTGTGATTTTGTGGCGATAAATAGTTTTTTCTATGATTATACTTAGGATGTAGTTGTATATTTTGATCTCCAAGTATCGAATAAAATAATAGTAATCGGCAATTATATTGAATATGTTAGTAAAACAGCTTTTATGTGTGAATTTGGTAACAAACATTGTGCTTCAATCTTAAGTTAATTTACACAATCATGTACAGGTACATAGACGCCATATTGTAATTTTGTAGCGATAAATATTTTTTTCCATGATTATACATTCATTTACACCATCATGTACTTTTGTTTGCAGATTGTTGGTTGCACATGTATATAGTTAGTTTGTCAGTTTCACATGTGTCCTGTGAAATTGATTTGGTAAGTACTGTATTTTTCAAAAACTTATGTGTCTGTATTGCCTAATTAATGCTGTTGATTATGGTCATTATATTAGAGATGTTTCTAGAAGAGTGTGTGATTGTGTCCTGTTTATGAGTATTTGAGGCTAGTTATGGTTGGACTTATAATTAATTAGGCTGAAGGCCTTGCTAGTCTCTTCTATTTGAGGCTAGGCCCAACGTAATATTTGGAGGTAGGTGTATATTGATATCCAAATATCTTACTAATAAATCAACATCTAATAAAATATATCATAAAATAATAGTAATCTATAATTATATTGAATATATATGTTAGTAAGACAGCTTTTACCATATGTGTTAATTTGGTAACAAATGTTGTGGTTCAATCTTATGTTAATTTACACATATACTTTTGTTTGCAGGTTTTTGGTGGTTGCACACAATCCAGGTCATTGTCAGTTTAGAGCTTGATGGTGTTGCATGTTTTCGTTTAGATAAATGGAGATAAGGAGCCTACAAGCTATCACATAATTACGATGAACTTCTACACCAACCCAGGGAACAGAGGATCCTGCGGAAAATACCTCAAATACCAACAGAGGGTGCACGTTATCGGATGACATCGGCCGATGACGAAATGATGAAGATACTATTTCGAAACCGGTTTAAATACTGTAGTGTTTAAACAAATTTAAAAATTAAAAAGCATTTATTTAAATTTAATACTGAAAAGCATATTGTGGATAAAGCATTTATTTAAAAAATTGAAAAGCATATTGTAGATAAAGCATTATTTTATTTAAAGAGTTTAATACTGAGGAGCACTATATGTATAAACCATTTTTTTTTTAACAGATTTAATTTCTGTGAGGCATGTTTTTCATTTAGCCACTTTTTTGAAACAGTTTTAAATATTGAGAAAATATTTAAAAGTTTTACATATTTTTCTGTTAAAACAGATTTAAATACTGTGAAGGCTATTGTGAATAACTTTTTTTTTGACATATTTGAATACTGTGAAGCATATTGTGGTTAACAATAAATATTATTATGTAAAGTATATTATTATGTTGTTTTGTAGCATTGTAAACAAAATTTTTGAAATCCATTATAAGCCACCAAATCATACATTTCTACTAACGTTTATTAATAAAACTGAAAATCAGTACGCCCTTATATGTACTGAAGTATCTATTAGTATTTACATGAATTGCATACTCGCAGCATTTTACTTTCTATTAGAAACTGCTAGTTAATATTTTTGTAATTACGACTCAGAATCATGCATTAAGAATGCAACAACTTTATACAACCTCCAGAGGGCAGTATACATGAGTGTCCCATGTGCACCAAAAAATTATTTTTTCATAATCCTTTTACAATTACTTTCAGCCGATTCAAAGCTATTTCAGCCATGGACGAGTGTCAAGTAGCAGCATGGATGACACAAGGCAGCCTTATCTAATATTTGGCTCACATTCCACAAAAGCTTGTCTAAAGGATGCAGAACAGGGCATTGCTAGTAACTTAGACATGGCTTTAAAGACATCAGGCCCAGCTGGAAAACCAGCCAAGCACATGGTAAATATAACATTTCTTTATGAAAGCTCCTGTATTAAACATATAAACATTATATCCAGAATTGATGTAAATATAGAGACTATATGTTTCTTTATCTTTCTGTTGATATTTTTTTTTTCTAAAAAAGTAATTTAATTTAATTGTATCATAGTGTCTGTATAAAATCACTTTATTTCGAAACAAAACAAAGGAAAACATACAAAGCCTAGGTCGTTACCTTATAAAGGAACACACAAGGTAAACAGACAAAAAACAGTTACAAAAGCAGGTGACAAGTAAACAAGAGACTTATAAAATACAAAAATACTCTGATCAAAAATTCGGTAAAGTTCATTGCCTTTCAATTAAAAATTTCATTCAAATTTAGTAAAAAAGAAAAACAAATACAATTGAATTGCACGGAACTAATTAATTTGGAAATAGGGAGGATTTACCCAAGAAGGTTGTTCTTTTGCGTAGTAGATGTTGAAGGAAGAAACTAGAGAAATTTTTGAGACATTATCCCTTAAAGTCTTAAGTGAGATTGATTTATTGCAAATTGTTAAGATTTGTTTAAGTCTATTTAAATTATATGGGGAGACATACCCTCTGGATCCCACCTCCAGAGCAATCAGTTCAACCTCGTAGCCAGAGGCCGAGATGTCAGCCATTAATGGGAGAATATTTATTGACCTTACAGGAGTGAGCTTGATTAATACCTGTTTCAAATGTAACTGTAAGTTCGATGATTACGAGTTTTTTGAGATCTTTCCAAAAAATACAGATGTCCGGGATCAAGTTTGTCACGGTACATTTGGATGGAATGGTAGTCCGGTGGGGAACATCTCAATCTCCGGCCACGAGGTCGGAGAGGATCATTGGAGTGAAGGATATGCTATCGAATCCCTTTTGAATGACCTGAGACAGGTGGTTCAGAATATTGTTGTGTCTCCATGTGAAGCGACCCTGGTCCAGGGGATTTTTGCATAATTTGCATAAAGGCATGATGTAGTGTCTCTCGATTCCCACATAATTTACATTTTTCAGAAATAGATTTCCCCCATCGGTGAAGGTTGACACGTGTGTTTAGGGTGTCGCCAAGAGCGTTTAACAAGAATTTTAATATCCCGGATGGAAGATTGTAAATTAAGGATTTCCATTGGTTGGATGATTCTTAGATGGACAGAAGCTCGTAGAACCTTCCCTGCACCAGGAGTCCCCTCACATGGGTATTCCTCACATTTTGAACCTCATCTCTCAAGTCCTGTTTAACCAACTTTTTCATTTCTTTGAAATTTTGCTCAGAAGAAATTATACTAGCAATAATATTTTCAGAATGACATGTAATTGACTTTCTACGGGTCCATCTTGCTTCCCTTGCAACCCTTGTATCAAGGCAATTGTTTACGTTGGGATCTCCTCGGACCCGAGTAGACAAGTGCGCAATAACATGACATTCTTTATACATTGATGAAATGGAAGGTATATTAAGTCCATTTGGCGTCTTGACAAAAGCAAGAGTGGCACATGGAGGGAGGCCAAATCATTTTTTTACAACCTACGTCATTTACAGTCAAGTGAAACTTAAGGCTAGGTAGTACATATTGTGCAAACATCCTGATCTTGTATTCGTTCCGAACAAGGGAACTATCAATTTTGCACATTGGTTCCTTAATTAAATCATGAAGGTAGGTGAAAACATCTGATTCGGAGTGATTGAATGTTACAATTGGACCTAAGAATTTATGTGGATCACTTTCTATGGACGGGATTTGTTCGTCCCCTAAATCGAAATTAATATTGGAGGGTCTCCTTCTGACAATGGACAATGAACGACATTTTGTTGGTTTTAACTTTAAACCCATGGATTCTGTGAGAGTTTTTAATCTAGAGATTAAAAGTTGGTAGGTGCGTTTATTTGCGGTTATTAAACAAAAATCATCAGCAAAAGGAGTGGAAATTATTTTTGAGCCATCAAAGTCATACCCATGGGAGGCTTCAAGTTCCATAAAATGAATTATTGGGTCAAAACACATTAAGAATATGATGGGAGATAGTGGGTCGCCCTGGAAGATGCCTTTTTCGAAAAGAAATGGGTCTGATGACCAGTGTTTTGTAGATACCGTTCCGGAAATTGTGGAATACAGATTCTCAATATAAAGTTGGACATTTGGGTAAATATTGCATCTGTTGAGAGTGAAGTTTATAAGTTGATGCGGGATTGATCCAAAGGCATCTTCCAGGTTGAACCAGCTAACATGAACAGTACGGGATCTGCTTTTAGCATGTCTAATCACTTCATGTAGCATAATATTGTGTTCAATACATCCATTCTTTCCTGAAAGGAAAGCCTTTTGTAATTGCGGGTTAATTAATTGATTTTCGACCATTAGTCTTGAGTTTTGCACAGCCCATAATTGGCCACTAAGTTGAGGAACGATGTATTTAATAAGTATTGCAAGACTGCAGATTGCTTGTGCAGCTGGCAATAAAATCGGCATACTGTGTTTCTGTTGTTCTTAATGAGCCACTTACTTGTTTGGCCAGTGCGTTTGGTCCGGCGAGCACAGCAACCGTAGAATATGGGCTGTATAAACTGTCAGGCCTAGGAATTATACGTAATGAAATGCACGTTCTTCAGACATTTAACACCAAAGCAGCACCGCACACAAACATAGACGACTTGGATAGGCGAAAAGATGTTAAAATGTGCAGGATATCATAGAAAAACATGCAAAATTTGCACAGGTGATAGAGCCTTAACCTTACGATTTCACAAACGCCAATTTGACTATATTTAGCTTACATATATTCTAAGGATACATCCAGTCATTTGCTATTAACAAAATATTTTCAAACACTTAAAAATTGTTAAACAAATACAGGTTTCAAATTATTTTCTGTCCTATGTGTGAATTTATATTGTTAAAAATGCTTTGCAGGTTTTCCAAGCTGTTTGTCCACGGACTCCTCTTTGCTGTGCTCGGACATATTTCTTGAACAGTGGACACCGTCCCTATCCTATGAGTAGAGCAAGTCCAAAGGCTCCTAGCCCACCTAAATCGGATATTGAGTAAGTAACATTTCATCCTACTGCTGTTTAGATTTAGGTTCAGAGTAGCCTTTTACACATTTTTTCTTTACATTATATTTCATTTACTATCTTTGCGTCGTCCATATGCATTTTTTTCTTTGCATTCAATGTTTTGACTATATTTATTTATTTATATAAGTACCGCAAGCCTTGTCTGAACAATTTTCATTGTTTCAGTTCTTACGGGTATACAACCCAGATATTACAGGATTGAATTGGATAACATTTGTCAACTTTGTGATAATAGGATGGTCTGAAAACATTGTATTACTATTGATACTGTCTAGGATATGATCGAAAACTTAATGTTTAAAAGGATTATAGACCGGCAGCCAAGAGCAGTTTGATCTAACGAACAAGGTACCAATATCCGAGTACAGGAACATTTATTATGTAACATAACATATCAATATATGGACGTCTGCTGGGAACGCCCTGCTGGGTGTGCCCCCTGGAGCACCAATTAAGGGGCTGAAAAATGGGCTAGATCATGTTTTGGAGATACCACATAAAACCAACTTAAAATTAACAAACATACTCTACTAAGTATAAAAAGTGTATTGCCAGACAGATTATCTGCTGGATATGTCCCGCCAGACACCCCCAAAAGGGGTCCTAAATTTGGGCTAGATCATGTATTGGAGATACCACATAAAATCGACTTAGAATTAACAAACATACTCTACTAAGTATAAAAAGTGTATTGCCAGACAAATTATCCACTGGATATGTCCCGCCAGACACCCCCCAAAAGTTGCCCCTGTGGACACTGTGATATAATTGGGCTAGATCATGTATTGGAGATACCACATAAAATCAACTTAAAATTAACAAACATACTCTAATAAGTATAAAAAGTGTATTGCCAGACAAATTATCCGCTGGATATGTCCCGCCAGACACCCCCAAAAAGGGGTCCTAAATTTGGGCTAGATCATGTATTGGAGATACCACATAAAATCAACTTAGAATTACCAAACATACTCTACTAAGTATAAAAAGTGTATTGCCAGACAAATTATCCACTGGATATGTCCCGCCAGACACCCCCAAAAGTTGCCCCTGTGGACACTGTGATATAATTGGGCTAGATTATGTATTGGAGATACCACATAAAATCAACTTAGAATTAACAAACATACTCTACTAAATATAAAAAGTGTATTGCCAGACGAATTATCCACTGTATATGTCCCGCCAGACACCCTCAAAAGGGTCCCCTATGCTGGACACTGTGATATAATTGGGCTAGATCATGTATTGGAGATACCACATCAAATCAACTTAGAATTAACAAACATACTCTACTAAGTATAAAAAAGTGTATTAATACCAGACAAATTATCCGTTGTATAGGTCCTGCCCGTCACCCTCAAAAGTTGCCCTCTGTGAACAGGGGTTTATTTATGAATTTGAGTAGCAGGAGAAATTTGAAAGTAACAGGAGAGTAAATTGTGATAGGCCGGGGGTATGGGGGGGGGGGGGGCGCCTAGGCCCCCATCGGGGTCCAGGGGAAAAGCCCAGGTCGGGGTTCAAGGTGGCGAAGCGCCATTGCGCTCCAGGGTATTAGAGTTTTTTAGGCCCATTTGATGGCATTTCTCTACATAATTTTTTTTTAAAACAATTTTCAGAATCAACTATGAGCTGTAAAAAAAGTTGATATTTTTTCATATACTGTATCATACATAGGCCTAGCCTAAATAGATACTGTAAACCAGAAACTTTCGCGAATTGATAATTTTGGCCGTTTTCGCGACATTAATTTTTCGCGAATCTCAAAAAGCCTAAATTTAATTCATGAGAGGAATATCATACAATAGCTGAAAATATCGTATCGTGAGTTTAGGCCTAGGTTAGATAGGCCTACAGCCACTGTGTAGGCTATATCTAGGCCTTGGCAGGCTTAGGCGCCATATAAGCCTGCAGCCTACCTCAGTTGCTAGGACAGGACTTAGCTGGTTATCCCAGGCACAGATAAGAAAGAGACAAGTTTACACACATCACACTACTCACTCATATATGATACTCCCTAATTTTGTATGGTATTCAAGCATCCTACAAAATGAACAATGTTTATCAATGTTTTATTAATAACAAATTATTTTCCTGTAGGCCTAATATCGATCCAAACACATTGATTGATGATGATTGAACATCGTGGTATGTCATATGGTACGGAAAATTAGTTTCCCATTTGAACTTCACACTGCACAGTGGTTGCACATGTGCAATCACATGCAGTGATGATCACAACCTCATTAATTAGTATACTTACTGAGTAGCTTAGAATAGGCCTAGAATTTACGAATTTTTCGAGCTCAACATCGGAATTTAAGGTCAGAAAATTTATTCAATAATTGAAATACATTCTTTTTTAAATTTATAAACATTTAATAAAATCCACCAAAATAAATTGAAAATACAATTTTTATAATGATGAAGTTGTTTACTTTTCACAAATATGTTGAAATTTGTGGGGATTCACCATTTAGGCCTATGTGCCCTAGACCTGCGTTGAAGAAAACATCTAAGAGAGCAAAAAATAGTTTTACTATTAAAAAAATTTACGCAGATATCGAAAAGGAATGGATACCACATTGGAAAAAAATGTCTCATGTGATGTCGTGAATTGAGACGATTTGGGCTTGCTTTGCCGTTTTAATTCGCCTTGCTACCTCCGCCACCGAGTTTAAACGAATTTGAGCCACTGTTGGTTTTTTTTTTTTTTTAATTATTTATCATTTCCGAAATATCTATGTCATCTATGGAGGAGAAATTTCTATTATCTTATTGGCTAACATGTGATTTGGAGGCGTGGCTTCTTTGATGGGCTCACCCAGGCGCGACTGTCGAACTTTAAACTTTAACTTTGTTTACACCGTGAGTTCATGAAAGTCAAACATGGAGTCTGAGAATTGGTAGACATTTTAACGAACATTCAACAGAAAGGAACATCGAAATTAGTGCATACTATTGCAAATTAACTTCGTGTAGGTAAATAAGGTTCTTTACATGCCTGTTGCGCTATTTATATTGGTGGTTTTTGTATTTATTTTTGTACAGCATTGATTGAAGTAGCTGGCGAAAACATCGTAGTAGCCGATCGAATGCGCCGGCCGCCGGCTCTTAAATAAACCCCTGGTGAACACTGTGTGCTAAAATAGATGGTGAAAGTACATCACATGAAACCAAGTTTAAATGAATAGGTACATTCACAAAGCAAACAATAACACAATGACCCTTTCCAAATGTTACTTTACATAAGGCCTCCAGATCATAGATACTTAGACCTATTTAGTCATAAACATCAAGGTACTGTACTGGATTAAAAGTTTTTTCGTTTTAAGTAAATCCCCACAAAAAAATAAATGGAGGTGCCACAGATTTTACATGATCGGTATTGCAATTATAATTATAATCTAAAGAGTAAGTAAAGTCGCTATCAAGTCTTTATGTCTTCATGAATCGTCGTCATCACCATCATCATCATCATCATCATCAAACTCCTCAGCGACGACATCTGGTTGGACACTCTGGAGATTCACTGTAATATCCTCCTCTTGTTCCTCTTCCTGAAAAAGATAATCTGGCATTGAATGTCCCGAATACCAGTCTGGAGTATAGTAACCATTCTTTTTCTTCCATCCGTAATTCAGAGGATCCAAACTAAGTCCGGGATGTGCAGAGTCAGCATTTCCCCACAGGATGCTGATGAAATGTGCCCGTTGCATATTTTTATGTACAGTTTTCGCACAAGGTGGAAGAAGTGCGCAGTCTACTCTCTTCACATTAGACATCGGGTTCTCCTAAAACAAAATAGATATTTAGACTACAAATTCGTTATCAATGTGCACAATTCATTTTAAAACTCACACACCACTGGGAATATTATTAATTAATGGTAATTTACGTTAATCCACAAACAAAAGCACATTTATAATGGAAAATTGTAGTTTAGGTTATTAGGTTACGTAATGTTATCTATATTTATTTTCTTCCAATATGAAATGATTTCTGATACAGTACCTGATCCAGTCTACCCTTCATCTGACACAGTTTTAGGAGCCTGGCCTCATTGACATCTTTTACACATCACCCTTCAAGCCATACGAGGAACAAACAAACTGTTCTGCTTTTCTCTGATCTGGATCATCTTCACAAGCCAGTTTGCTGAAGAACTGAATAAGTGTTCCTTCTGTGTCTTTTACGAGAACCTTAAGTGGCATCAATTTACCTTTTCTGTAGAATGCGGTGGTGAAGTCTGAGCCAGTAAATGCGTAAAGACCTGCCATGGATCCAGCTAATCCGTCCTGCTTTGACTCTAGTGTGGTGACAATGCTATTGACATCAATTAACCGACGGCTATTGACCGATCCACAATCCATAATAATGCGACTGTATGATGTAGGTCTGTCATTTGTCAGCTGTCTTCCTTGCATTCCAATGAGAATAATTAGGACATCAGTATCAGAGGCTCTAATGATTATATTTCCAGTGGTGCCAGATTGATGGAATGCAATGAGAGTATCTGCTTCCTCATGACTACCCTGGAGATTAGCTGGATTTTCAACATTCATCTTCAAATCAAGCTTATTAAAAGAGAGTCGGATACAGTTGCCACCATACCATAGAAAACCATAGTGATCTTCTTGCCATTCTTTCAGGAGAAATTTTGCCAGCTGATCCTTAAACATCCCATTTTGTAGCAACCTATGACAGCCCTCTCTAGGTGCTTGCTCTGGTCCAGCAATAACAAATGGATGGTCATTGGCTCCACGTAGTCTTCTCTCACTCCCCTTCAGCGACATAGGACGATATGTATCAAACAATATATGAATCTCATTGCCTTGGCTGCTACAGACATAGGATAGCAGTGTCCTGGCAAGATTTCCATAGGATTTTTTTCCCCCAATTACCGATAGGTTGTCTTGACCAACAGTATCAATTAACACAGCCTAATGTCCCTATCAAACCTTAAATATAAAAGTATAGTATTATATCCACTTTGGATTTTTTTAAAATTATACTTTTGTCATAGTTATCCTACAATATTCCAAATTATTTACGCTCTGTTTAGTTTTATTACAAATACTTACGTAATTAATAGTCATCTCAAAAAGAAGATACATCCAACTTCTTTAATTTTGACAGCGGCTGAGTAAGAGCTGTGGGGCCAGCTTAATCAAATTATGAATTAGGCCTACTGTGGGGCTTACGCTGATGATAAATCATATCCATAGGGGGGAAAAAAATTTTGGGGTGTCTGGCAGGACATATCCAGCGTATAATTTGTCTGGCAATACACTTTTTATACTCAGTAGAGTATGTTTGTTAATTCTATGTTGATTTTTAGTGGTATCTCCAATACATGATCTAGCCCAATTATATCACAGTGTCCACATGGGGAAACTTTTGGGGGTGTCTGGCCAGGGGTGGCGCCAGGACCTGCCCGACAGAGGGCCTAAAGGCCCCGACGGGGGTGGGGGGAGGGGGGGCTAGTGGAGCGAATCGAGTCTCACCTGGCTGGGAGCCAGGGGGGCTGCCTAGGGCCCCCAGTCAGGGTCCAGGCGGCGAAGCTTCCGGAAGCCACGGATATTTGATGAATTATGGCGAATTTTTATTACTTATTTGATAGGCATCGAGTTACTATAATATGACTTCATGTAGGCTATGCTTTCTAATGTTGATATCAGCTTCCAATACCAAAACATTTTGAATAAAGAGAAACAAAGAGTATGCAAAGAGTATGCTATATTCCCCCAGCCCCCCCTCTGGCGCCACCCCTGTGTCTGGCGGGACAAATCCAGTGGATAATTTGTCTGGCAATACACTTTTTATAATTAGTAGAGTATGTTTGTTAATTCTAATTTGATTTTATGTGGTATCTCCAATACATGATCTAGCCCAAATTTTGGACCCCCTTTTTTTTTTTTCTATGGCGGGACATATCCAGCAGATAATTTGTCTGGCAATACACTTTTTATACTTATTAGAGTATGTTTGTTAATTTTAAGTTGATTTTTAGTGGTATCTCCAATACATGATCTAGCCTAATTATATCACAGTGTCCACAGGGGCAACTTTTGGGGGTGTCTGGCGGGACAAATCCAGTGGATAATTTGTCTGGCAATACACTTTTTATACTTAGTAGAGTATGTTTGTTAATTCTAAGTCAATTTTATGTGGTATCTCCAATACATGATCTAGCCCAAATTTAGGACCCCTTTTGGGGGTGTCTGGTGGGACATATCCAGCGGATAATCTGTCTGGCAATACACTTTTTATACTTAGTTGTTAATTTTAAGTTGGTTTTATGTGGTATCTTCAAAACATGATCTAGCCCATTTTTCAGCCCCTTAATTGGTGCTCTAGGGGGCACACCCAGCAGGGCGTCCCCAGCAGACGTCCATATATTGATATGTTACGTTACATAATAAATGTTCTTGTACTCGGATATTGGTATTTTGTTCGTTTGATCAAACTGTTCTTGGCTGCCGCTCTATTATATTTTTGCTGATTTACATACATGTTACATCAAAAATCTTAATTGCTGTACCAACTAATGTATAGGCATAAGCAAAGAATATAGAAGCAATCCGTTAATTGAAGAGAAAATGTTAGGTTTTATTTAAGTAAAACCTAACTTTACTTAAAAGCAATTTAAATAAGTATTAGCTCAACACAGAAAATGCATTGTAAAATTGTACATAAAAACAATGAAATTCACCAAACCATGTGAAAAATGCCAAATATCAATATGATATTATAAATTGAATGTGACAGTAGTGGTTGCAGCTTTGGCAGCAGCAATGTAACAGGATGGGCAGTGGCGATGGTGGAAACAACAATATATATTTAATTTACAAATTATTGTTTCTTAATAATGAAAAGGTATAAAGCCTGAACTACAGTAAATGCTCTCTTTTACATCCTTCATAACATCATCAAACAGCAAGTCAGTCACAAAATTAAAAGTTGTAATATAATTATGTCATTTAATAATCAGCATCTGTAAATCAACTTTCTGATCAATAAATTATATTTTTTATATAGACAGTATTAACTTATTTTTAACTTAAATTATTGCTGTTTTTGTTTTTAATTTGAGTATAATTTTATTTCTTTAAATTTTAAAGGCTGTTAAATAAACTGTATATGATTGTGATTGATGCTGTCCTATGTACTATCAACATCTATGGCCAGATTGCTAGTGTCAAACAGGTATTTATTGTTATATGTTGTTAAAGGCGTGTGTTCCCACCTGAAAGAATTTGGAGCATGCCATCCCAATACCAGCATTCATGGTAAAAAAAAATAAAAATTTATGTTATGAGTAAACATATTACAACTTCTCTGTACAAAATTACGGTGTAAAATAGTGCCATATTATGCTAATTATCAGGGCAAGTATAGTATGCTGGTTTTGGAATGGCATTGTCTCATTTAGACATGCTTTATGATAACTATTTTTATGCCTCTTTGAACATACTTAATGCAGAATTCAGTATTAATTCAGTGACTAGTATACAAATATCTATTGCCCTAAGGTGATGTCGGCCCTCGGGAAGATAGGCTACGGGCTCCACATCACCGAAGGGCAATAGGTTTCACCGTTCCCTGAATCTAGAACAGTCAATATTTGTTTTATATACCTCATTCCGAGGAACAGTGAAATTACATGGAAACATCTTGAACCAAAGATCAAAGGTTATAACCCGCGATACCGCCACTCTTATCATAATCAACTGATAAACAATTTACAACTAATTACAATTGCTTTGCGCATGCTCGCTGTCGTGTTCTCATGGTGGTCGACATCGTATTATACCATGATCAAACCAGGGAACAGTTAAATTATACCACCGAAATGTTACAGAAACATAAATGGGGACCTACATCGCGATGATTGTTTTAATATCTTGCAAATATGATTGAAACGTTCTATATTCTATTTTAAAATACCAATCACACAGTAAATCTAGAGTATCAATATTTTAACTATCAACGGTTTGACATGGATTCAGGCCTAGATTCAAGGACGGTGAACATAATGTGAATGCCTGTCACTCACGATCAGGTATAGCCTAGCCCTATATTGCCTAGTACTGTTGGGAGGCTCCAGGCCTTACATGCGACCTATCATGGACGTTTATTACAAATGGTTTTTCCATTTAGCCTAGAGACCAGAGTACCAGAGTTACGCACCTCTCTGGGGTTATCGTAATGCAATCTGCAGATATACTCGCTAGGACTGTTAAATCATGTATCCATAATATTATTTAAAAAAATAAAATTATACTAGGCCCTATGCTTGTGTTCACTGTTAAACATACTTGTGACAGTACAGTATATGTGGGGTGGTGTAGTATTGTACTCCTCTCCTGTGCACTATCTTATTGTTATTTATTGAATTTATAATGTAACAATTTAAAAAAAAAATGAATGCTTGCGGTACACCATGTATGTACTCTAGTTCTAAAAGAAAAATAGGTGAAGCCTTCGGTGTTAAATCAAAAATATACTGTGGCCCTTCGTCCTATTTGCATGCCCATCCCTTTAATACACTTCTTTTAGAACACCAAACATGAATGAAATGCGAGTTACAATTTAATACATTAACAATATAAAATGAACGTTATTCTACAATATTCATTGGATGTTGCCTGTCTGGTTTTTAAAATGAAATTACCTGTACATTTTATCTAATGAACAATTACATCGTATCTAATTACAATAGCAATCCAATTATAATTATATTTTCTAAACCAGTTATATTTATTAACAATTCTGTCTTTTTATTAATAGCCTTTCAGTGATGCAGCACTGGTAGTGGTTTCACAAGTGGATTAAATAAACAAAAAAATGAAAGAAAAGTAAATCAGAATGAAAAGAACTAATTTAATTTGGATCAGGCAACAAAACATAACTTTGCAGTGGAAATGATAAAGCATATGACAGCCTGTTTTTTGATTAAGTTTTTAAAAGTTGAAAAATCATTACAATTTATTATAAATTACATCTAATCTTATTTTGATTGAGAAGACAAGAAAGCAGCACAATAGAGTAAAAACAATGAACTATAGAGTCAACCTCTCACTCTTTCATCTCTGCCCATTTTCAGCTTCCTTAGAAAATTCACTTTAGCCTGAAATAGATAAAATAAAAAAAAACAAACTTTTTTAGCCGTTGTTGATTTATATAAGCTAAAAACTTATTAAGGTTGATTGGGCTCAATTTTTTAACTGTATGCCTCATCACTAAATTGCTATCACAACAAAAAATAAATAAAAAGGGATACAGGTGACAAATGAAATAACCCTTACTTGGGCAGGCCAACTGAGATAGGGGCCTAGGCTTAATAATAATAATAAAATATTAATAAAATTATTGATGTTTTAACAATAAAAATGTACACCGCCAGGCTCAACATGCAGTTAGGAGGATAGCTCAATACAAACACGAGTATGATGACAGATAGCTAGGCCTAGGTCTGCTTTCGGGTTTACCGATGATCACCAGATATAGGTTCAGTAATGTGCGAATATCTCTGATAGCCACAATTGCCCGCTCCAGAGACTTAGGGTATTTGTAAGTTACATGTCAATCTTTTTATACATCAAAACCGGAATGACTAGCAATTGTGGCTTTTTATAATATATAGTCTAGAAAAGTGACTGAAGTGAATGCAAGTACACATACTTACCAAAAAATAGGTACCTAAAAGGTACAGGTGGCTACTGAATTGCCCTTTTTTTCCCTTTTTTTTTTTCTGTATGTATGGTATGTTTTAATGTATTCCATTTGTTAGTGTGGTTCAACCAAATAAGGAGATGCTAGGTCTGCTTCAGGGTGGTGAAAGAAACATTTTCATTTTGTTTTTAAAATAAATCAATTTTAATTTTGGAAAATATTGACATTAATAACAGTAAATATGAGGAAATTCATGTATATAGTTTTTAGCTAAAGTATAAATGTCAACTAAGTAATAAAATATACAAATACAATTTTTTAACACTTCTTTTTATTTAGGAATAAAAAAATGTCTATATTCTGTAAAAGCTTGAATAAGCGCTGCGGCACTTATAACATATTTGGAGGCTTCAGTGCGGTGCTTATTCAAGAGAGGCGCTCATAAAAAGAAATACTGGTGTGGCGCTTTTCCTGCCCATTCCCATGTTACATATCTCACATTCCGGTAGTACAGTAGGCCTATCATAGATTTCTTTTTGTTTTTTTCTTTTTGTTGTTTATCTGTTACTGTGTATGATGAACTGAAGACAAAATAAATGATATGATTTATGATATGATATAGGTTCAATGTCATAGTAAATAAACACTTTAATACAAAAAAAAAAAGAAATACTTAATGTATTCATTGTGTTATTTATTCATCTTTAACACTGTATACATTGTATTTAAAACCCAAATTTTTTAATTGCTTTTTCGAGCATTTACGGTAATTTAAAACTATATAATCTGAATCCACGATTTTGTAGCAAGATAGCAATAAAGGCTTTTATTTTAAAAATCGGTTTATTACAGAAAACATATTTTTTAAAACTTTTTATCACTTGCAAATTGACATCTTATTGAACATTTCAAACATTTTTTGCCTGCAGTCTGGGTGTTTAATTTTGTGAAAAAAAATTTTCCAAATTGTTGTCTGTACTGAACATGATGGATCAATCAGCATACATTCTGCAATATTTTTAGCCCATTTCTTGTGTTGAACTTTTTTGTGCTGGAAAGCTGTATAGCTTTTATTGTCACGAGTTGCTTACACTTGTAAGGAAAAAAAGGTTTTTGGTTGATACATTCCTAAATTTGGAATGGAATCTTTTCCAACTGCTTTATTTTAACTTTTGAGTTTATAAGAATATTGGTACCGAAATCGCTGAGCTTCACTGGACTTTGGTTTTCAATAGTTCTGGAATTCAGTGTGATTTGAAGCAGTAAAAAAGTTTCTTGAAAATTGTCAGTAGTCGTTTGTTATTGCATTTTGAAGTACTGATTTGTGTTTGTTTTTTTAATTGGAGATACATTATGAATGTAGGCTTCCCATGTCTTCTTTTTTTTTTTGCCATATTTTTCAGTTCATTAACCTGAAATGATAAAGTATAAAATGCAAAATTAATTATTCATGGTGAAAAATTGAAATATGAAAATTACTAGATTTTTTTTAATGAAGATTTACATACCTTAAGGGCACCCTTACAGTATTGATTTACAATTTTGCTGTCCGTTTCATAATGAAAATTAATTTAAGATGCATAACGACTCATGAAAAATGCATATTTTTTACGCTAGACCTTATCATAACTCTCACAAGTCAAGCTGCAGGCCGATTCAAGAGTCCCCTCTTTCTAGACATTTTATTAACTGAACTGTAAAATGTAGTAATAATATGGCATAGGCCTATAAGCCTTAACTATGCCTAGATACACTAGATAGGTCGTTTAGCCAGATATTTTTACCTATGTAGCCTAGGTAGCCCTATAGTTTTATTAGCAATAATCCTACTACCTACCTAGCTACAACATGTTGTTTATGTATAAACATGGCTGCTGAAATGACCGTAGTAGAACCAATAACTCCCTCGTAGAACTAGCACTAGCCTAGTTATAATATTACACATCAGTAGTATAGGGCTACCTATAGCCTAACTAGGCAATAGGCCTAGACTCTATAGAGGCCTAGTCCTATCTCATGAATAGGCTCTCCTCTCCTTGGAATGCCATCCTTGAAGTGCTGAATATTCCAAGCTTCTGTATCACATCCTGGCCTAAAATATTAGTTTATAATTAAACCTAGCCTGCTACTAGTCCATTATGTATGGTAAATTAGGCATAGGCCTAGTCCTAGCAAGGAAGGGCCTGAGTCGACGACGTACGAGTAAAATTGTCGCTGCACTGGCAGGCCAATGATAAATCAGCATACTAGGCCTAGCTATAGAAATGAAACTTCAAAACAAATTTTCGTTTAGCTAACAATAATTGATATACTATCTAATAATAGTAACACATGGAAATCATTAGCTCACCTAGGCCTAAAATTGTCAAATTTAGTAAAATTAAACATGGTCTACCTTCACAGAACTTACTTTTGTTTGTCATCGCACATAAAAAATGTGGAGGCAGGTACGTACCTAACATAACATAAGACTAACTAAAAAAAGGATCTGCTGAGTGTCGAGTAATTTTCGTAACATACGTAACCTCCTG